AGCAAAAGTTTGATTTTTTTTCTCAAAGCTGCACTGATCAATAATTTTTATATTTCCAATGAATCAAATGACTCTGTATAAGGTGAAAGGTGCTTCTGGATTCTGCTGAGCATCAAACTATAGACAGACAAAGTTAGAGACGAACTAACATTCAAAATGAGGACACTGATACAGTTCCTTGGTTCTGTCATCAATAATTAGCTACGGTTAATCAGTGAAGTCGTTCAGTACAACGCTGTAATGACTCTTTGTTCTAAGTCTTTGTATTGAATCTGTTCTCGACCGCCTTCATGAGGAGTTTGACCTCCTTCCTTCAAGCCGCCGTTCAGATTTTCTTTTATTCCCAAAGCTACTGAAAGGCTGAATCTGTGATGTAATACAAACACCTTCACTTCATAATACCTTCCTTCAAGGCTCTAAATTTTTAGTCACGCTTATTTTCTTTCCAATACAGAACGGTTTTATTGTCATCATCTTTGACTTTTTATTTTTATTTTTTCTATAAATATATTCTATGTAACTTCTGTCCCCCAGCGCAGACTGCTGCTGCTGTGACCTGTGTGCTCAATGATCGCCTGCAAACCACATTTACTTTGGGAAAATAATCAATGTGAAGTTGAACTTTCCATTACAGGACATAAATGGTCTCAAGATTAAAGTCTTTTTTTTTGAGAGAGTTCAGGCCAAATCAGCAAGAATCAACACACACACACACACACACACACACACACACACACACACACAGGAAGGAAAAAACAAAGGTATATAACATACTGAAGAAGAGTAAAAGCTGCTAAAATATGAACACCGGTAAAATGATGAACTACCTGAATACCACCTGAAGAACATTAATTATTCATATTCCTGCAGTCTGTGACCTTCAAATATGAACTTTCACTATCAGCAGATTGAGGACGACTGAGATCCACACAGGTCGGGAGACGGACTCGAGAAGATCTGAACCGTTCAGACCTGGAGACTGAACAAACACGGTGAGTGGGATTACTAATAATCCTGAATGTAGGGAGGTCAGAGGTCAACAGCTCTCCTGCAGCTGGTAGAGCAGCCACGATCCGATCAAGACACAGAACTCAATAACATTTTACTTCCCCGTGAACGAGTCTCTCCTCTAAATTTAATCTGTTTTTTGACCAAATAAAGGAAAACATTCAAACTGATCACGTTTTGTTTCACAGGAAGTCGACTTAATGCTGCCTCCAATGATTTATTTTAAAGAATTTGCATCGGTTGTGCACCTGCAGCTGGAGGAATTTAAATCTCACAAAGAAGTGTAACATGGTTGATACCTGGGGGATAATGGGTTATAATTATGCTGATTTCAGCTGGAAACAAAGAAAGAAAGAATAACTACTGCATCAATTTGAAAAGTTTAGATAAACACGTACAGAACTGTTTACACGATGAACAAGAGACAAATTCCCGACTCACTGAGCTTCTGTTTTAAAAAGAAATATATACAATAGAAAATAAAATTAATTTTGTCCTTTGAACTGGTGCCTTGATGTGAAGTTTAAATGCGTTTAATTACTGTTCACTGAAATAATTAATTTGCTTTTTTACAATTAACATCTACAAAGCTGCAGAGCTGATTATTAAATAAATGAATGGAGCTGAGTCACAAGCAGATTTATGAATGAAGCTCTGAATCTTTGCCCAAACGATGTACAACAAACATGTTATGGTTTAAATTCTTGGTTCAGCAACACTTCACCCTGTGTCCACACCTGCAGAGCTCAGAGGAAACCACTGCACTGTGCGTGTGGCTTTAACAGCAGACATTTATTACTGTTTATAATGCAGACGACACAGGAGCACAGGGACTGTAACTCTGACTTTATGGCCTTTAATGCAAACCCACATGTGTGCAGAAGCTCTGCAGCTACAATTAGCTGCATCCATCTACTGAAGTGCTGCCATTGTCGGGTTTTCCTGCCTCTCTGTAATCCTGGAAACTCATGTTCAGGCTCTGTTCGGTCCCATGACGCCACTTCCCTCCTCATCTCTTCATCCTCACTCTCGGTGCACATGTCGGCGCTCCACATGCGACAGTACAGAAAAGCGTCGCTACAGTGCTGGAAGGTGCTCGTCGCGTGAATCCAATGACCGTCTCATTACGGAGATGCTGAGACCTTGATGATGCTCTGTGGTGTTAATGAGGCAGAAACTCAAAATTCACCCGTGTTCGAAGTTGAATTTATTTTTAATCAGAGTTGTAAAGATGCAAGAAGGAGGCAGCGGTGGTTTATGGGTCAGAGAGGTGAGTTTGTGAGGAGACCTGAGCGCTGTTGGTTTGACTTCCTGAGTGGGGAGGGGAGGGGGGGGGACTTGTTAATTTACTTTATGGTCGCAGCAGATGCCCTCAGGGGCTTCGCCATGTAATCACCAGTTTATTCAGTTAATAGATCAGTCCTCCAATAAATCTGACCGTCTTGAAGGCCATTACTGCACTGAGAATTACAACAATCTAGTCATAAAGACAAAGAAGCATGGGTTAGTTTCTTAGCAATTTCAAACTGTAGAATTTGTCTTTTCTTACAAATATATATCTTGATTGGAAAAAGCATTAAAGCCTCCTCCTGAAATATATAAAAATTCACCTTAATTCTTAGTGTAAGGTTTGATATCAGAGGCCAAAGATCCCAAAGTGCTGCTGCAGTGTAACATCACGAACCTGAGGTGATGCATTTTTTATTTTTTTTTTGGTTTTAGTGTCAGGACAAGAGCCAACAGCAACATGATGCAGCTGTTTCTGCAGATGTTTCTGCAGATGGAAACAGACTCCTTGGTGACAGAGGTAACAGAATAACGCTGCTGCTTCAGTCAGTTCAGCAGCTGCTCAGGAAACTTCTCTTGTTTGTGTTGTGATGTGGTGGAAAAACAAAGATAACAAAACAAGGAATGTAAAAAGACCCAACCAGTTTCTTCATTATGTAACAGGAGCAAGTGAATTGTTGGCTGGTTGCTACATATTGATTATTTAAACACAAATTAATGGCGTCTGTGTGGCCTAAATAGCTCTATTCACTCTTTTCAAGCTTTGTTTATAGATTCTTTATTTGCTAAATTATTGATTCAGTCACTGTTGACCTCTACATCATTTCTATAAAGTGGGGATGGTTTTATATTCGAGGACGAAACATTGGTTGTCCTGGTTCACTGGTTGTATTGGCTCTTATGTTACTGATTGAGTCTCTTACATTAAAAGGAGCTATATGCAAGTTTTTGCTATTGCTACGTAGCATTAGCATTGACAGCTGTTTACTTATCAGTCTTTCCAAGAGCTTCAGCCATCGTTGAGTTTACAATACAAGAGGTTATTATACGCCTTCTGAAGCACGTCTAAAGTGAGAGGGATGGGCTTACCAGACCGGAGCTAGCTGGTTAGCATGCTAACATCAGTAGAAGAAAAGAAGTGACAGCAACAGAAGCAAAACAAGAGGGTTGCTTTCCACCTCTGGAGACAGCTGTTGGTGAGTAAAGGAATGAAGTTTGATGCTGAACTCGCAACGTTTCCTCAGTAAGTAAACAGCTGCTAATGCTAACGTTAGCTATGTAGCAGTAGCAAAACTTACAAAAAGCTCCTTCAAAAGAGCACTGCACTGATTTATCATTGCATCTCCTATAACATCATATAAAAACATATCTTTTAAGATCTAATTTATTCATAACATTGTTGTTCCTTGTCAAAACCTGGAGCCTAAAATTACCCATAATGCAACTTGACAGCCAATATTCACTCCTTACCGACTCCAAACCCCCAGATTTTTTCCATTTCCAACTTTTAGTCTCCAGACCCAAACGACACCGACTCAAACGACATCACTTGAGTCAACGCAGAGCCACAAAGCCTTTATGTAACTAGAAGTTCAGAACTGTTTGATATCGGTAGCGATACCTCGACTTTGGCTGTTAACGACACTTTTTTTCAACACCAATTTTTATCAAATCCATTTTAACAAAAAGAAAATAACTGTACACATTACAGTACAAATTTTAGTTGTATTTTTAAGCTCAGTCTCTTTACTCACAAACATGTTCGTATAAGTAACCGGCCAATCGCCTGCATTATTAGGTCTTCATCCAAGCATGCTGCATACTGATTGGCTCTCTGACGCTGATGAGATTTACTCATTTACTCGATTTAGTCGAATGACGAGGCATTTTTTCGATCCTCAAGAGTATCAAACCAAATCAGTCGGTCCATTAAAGTATCAAGGTTCAATACCTAGCCCTACCTTCAAGAGTGTTGCATTATGGGTTTTTTGTACTCTGTCCTATCTTCCCACATAAATGTTTGGTACATGCATGAACTTCTCTTTAAAAACAGTAATTGTGGTACCAATCAGTAGCTTTTTGAAATGAAGCTATTCACCAGTGACTGTGGAGCATTTTTCATCCGAGGTGGTTTTAAAACGGACAGAAATGGATTTTGAAATTTGTGGTTTGGTGGTTTAATTACAGGTTTCAGGCAACCCTTTTAAATTTGTTTGTCTGTTACTCCAGAAATTTCAGTGTTTTGTCCAAAGCTCATGTTGAGTGTTTCCACTAAATGGTGGCACCAAAGTGATAAGTGAGAGTCATTTAGGCTAAAAAAAAAAAAAAAAGACGCCTCTTTCTGCCAGTAATATATCAACGTGACAGAGACCAGTGGAGAAAAAGTCCAGCCTCACTTTAAGGCTTCAACTTTGACAAGCACTTTAATGAAGGAAGTTTTATCGTCAACACTAAGACACAATTAAGATTCAAACTCAGCCACAGAAATTTAAAATAGAAAAATATGACTTTTTATTTGTAGAAAGAAGCTGTTGGTTTTCTCATATTGTTCAATACAGTCCAAGTTTCTCTACAGCAGCATCTAGTGGATGTTAGAGGAACTACAGCTGAAGAAACGTGGCATTAGATTGAGTATTGTTATTGAGTATTCAATAACAAATACAATGTGCTTGTGTGTTTGTACCTGTTAACCTCTAGCGGCTCACCTGGCAGGCGTTGTACAGCAGCTGGTGCTCGAACTTCCGGATGCCGAGGATCTGCTGGAACATCTCGTACAGCTGCTCCTTGCTGAGGATGAGCTCCGACACGGCGCTCAGGTGCGCCCGCTGTGGCTGCCGCCGCATGTCCTCGTCCCCCCTGTAGATGGCGTCGTACTTGGCGATCCAGGAGCTCAGCACGGTCTCTTTGCTCAGGCCGTCGATCTCCGGGAGGCTGCGAATGCGCCGCTCGATGTTCTTCTTGAAGACCTCGCGGAAGTCGTTGGCCGAGCAGCCGCCGCTCTGAACCATCCGGGAAACGCGCTCGCTCTTCAGGAAGCCCTGCCGAGGATAGAGACAACGATTAACTACTTACAGCATTGATTATAGTTTGATTATTTACCCTTCAATGATTCACCCTTTACAGATCAATTGTACCACAAGAAGTTCTCCACGTTCCAAGTGAGGGAATTTAGATTTCAAACCTATTTACAAAACTGATGAAAGCAACTTCTGGGTCATCTTCAGACTGACACCAGCACTGCATCGAGAAATGTGGCCCACTCCTTCATTTCCATGAGACTACAGAGTTGGCAAAGTGTCCAACACGCAGGGTCATCCAGCAAAACAATGAACTCGGATCAACTTCTGCTGCAACACAACGCTCCGTCATCTGGAAATGCAGCACGTCGATGATGATGTTTGGTTGTAGTAAGAAAAGGACCGTAACTAATAACAGAAATGGTAAAACCATGACAGTGTGACAGCGAACCAACAGGCACAACACCAGGACCCTGAAACCGGAGCCTCAGCCATCATTCATATACAACTGTACTTGTCCTACTATGACATGTCAAAGTCCGACCCGTGGCCTTTTGCCGCCCCGCTCATCCCCTCTCTCCCTCTCACTGACTTTCCTGTCGCTATCAGAATAAAGGCAAAAAAAAAATGCCCTAAAAAATAACTGGAACGCACCCGCACTTGTGTTTCAGTGTTTTTAGTTTCAAAAGTCACAAAGCGTCGAACAACAACGAGTGTGTCCCAGCCGGGTTCATCACTTTTTAGCGTCCTCTGGAAACACTTCTGTCGTGTCGTGAGTATTTGCAGATCATGTGTCGTCAAACTGACGAAGATGTTTTCTGAATGTGTTTGTGTTTCGTCTGTTTGAATGTGTTTTCTTAAGCTGCAGTGCGTTGAGCTCTCGGGGGGCCACCGTACTTTTTTGAGAAAAGCCTGTTTTTCTGGTCAGTACCTGATAAGTTCCCTCTCACCAGCACGCTTTGATTTCTCTCTGACAACTTACTGATTAATGGGACAAACAGCAGCATTGATGTCGTTGCCATCGATAAAGTGGAATTACACGAATGAGCTTATTTTTCAGCTTCACTTGAGAAAAATAATTTAAGCTCCAAACTCTAAACAACATACAAGAAGCTTTGTCCAAAATCTAATCAGGCTTTTAAAGCTGAAACCACCAAACATCCAGTAAACAGGGCTGTTCTCTCCTGTCCGCCTCCGCACGTTTTTTGGGTTTTGACGGAAGCTCTTTTTCCCCAGAATGACTTTCACTGAGTCTGACAGAGGAGTAAGTGTCTCTGTTGGCTGCTTCACCTCTTCCTGTCAGTCGCTCTGAGACTCTGAACAGCAGAACATTAGAACATCAGTGAGACATGGATTCATGTAATGGAGGCCGAGCGCTCGGAGAGCAGCAGCAGCAGCTGACGACAGTTTGAAGAGACAATCGGAAACAAACATCAAACTGGACGAACATTCTATTCCTTTTTACATGTTTTTTTCCCCCCTCCTCTACAGATGTGCACAAATTGAAATTGCTGCATCGCACTGCTCACACATGATTGGGTGATTGTATGAATACTCACAGCCGGGTGCTCACAGAGATCAATTTTATTTCTCCAGCTCGTTTCGGTTAAAACTAGGTTGTAGTTCGTTGTGTGACTTAACACGGGAGCAAAGAGGCATTGTTTCTGTTTTGAGTTATTTTTTTTTCTCCTGATAATATCTCGTTATTTCGGGATAACGAGCTTTGTTATCTTGAAATATTTTCGGGTATGATCTTTCTCGGCTTCCATAGATTTAAACAGGTCTTTGACAGACTCTTCGGTATCTGAAGTTGAGCCAACATCTTGGAACAAAACACTGAACCTTTAAACCTGGTTTATTCTCGGTAAACTCTCCTGGGTCTGATGCTTAAATAAATTAAATGTCAAATGAGGGAGAAAAAAAAAAGGAATTAAAAGAGCAAAAGTAGAAGTTAGAAATCAGTAGAATTCATGTAGCAATTAAAACCTCCTGGGAGCGTTGCAGGTCCGAGTCATGTGACCTGACCACACGTTCATGCAGTAACTTCAACTTCATGAAGCCCAGGGGGGATGAAAACGCAGCTTTTAACGTGTGCTCGAGTCTGCAGAGAGTTTGTGTAATTACATACATACGTACATACATAATGGATAACTTCTCCAGGGGCAGAAACGTTGGCAGAGTCTGCAGCTCTGTGAAGAAGCAAGGATCCAAGTTTCTCTCCATTAGCAGACTCGTCTCATTTATCCTCAGCTGGTGGTTATTCACGTTTGATTAAACAATAATCTTTATCAAAAAGAGAATTAGAGCCTATACAAACACAGACCTCTTATCAGGGTTTTTTTTCTTTTTTTAATCTCACACTGTGTGTTCAAACCAAGTGACAGAATCTTTTGGTAGCTGAGCAATAACCATTTAAGATAATCAATCTCACAGTCATCTTATCTCTAAACAGATAAGACGTTTTGTTTTATGTATTTATTACTAAAAACTAAAGCCTGATATCCCTCACTGAGCCACACCGTTGCACTGGGTGATAACCACAGCAGTTTATTATTAAATTAAAAAAAATTTATGATGGACATGACTTCCCTGTTTGAACTGCAGAGCTGGGAACTGATGTTGATATTAAAGATATCTAAATAATCATTTGTTATAAAAGTCAATAAACTGGTGGAACTGACGGAAATAAACTGGAATATACTTTTTTTCTCTCCCTCTTGTCTTCATCATTAATGAAGCATTAAACTTTAATTATCTTCTTTTCTTGGTGTTAAGACGGATTTCTTCTTGACGTGAGCGTTCATCGTTGAGATTTCACCTGCTGAATCATCGTTGCATCACAAAACATGGTACTGTATATCGATCAATTATGTTCTCCACAGAAACCGTGTGCGATATGTTTATTTCACGTTCGTTCATTCATGGAGATCCGCGACTTCAGGAAGCACAAGGTCTGCAGAGGAGATGATGCGTTACTGAACAAAAAAAAGCCAATAACTGACTTTTATTAAACTTCCTTAATGTTGTTTTTATTCTCAACAAATCTCCACCTGCATCAGACAGAAAACACAAGCAGCGAATAACAGTTGCTCTGATATCGCGATTAACTGTTCAGCCCTACCCGACGTATAACTATATTTTTGAGGAGGTGCACGTCAGCGACACCGTAGCTGGACGGACGAAGTCAACCAGTCAACCAGTTGGACGCCAATAGGAGTTTAAGAGACAGTGTGGGAACAATAACAAAAGAAATGGTCAGGAAGTCAACCGAGCAGGCTAAGATACTTAGGATTGGTGAGAAACATCTGGTAATAAGAGATTAGGTAAATAGGAATAGATATAATGCCAAGGCGCACTGCCAATAAGAGAACGATGACCTGGGAGGGCGTCATGGTGTTCTGCCAGAAAAGAGCACCATGACCTGGGTGTAAGCCAGGAAAAACAAAAGTGCAGGAGTTGGTCAACAGTTAGGCAAGAGTTATACCACGTAGCCAAAAAGATTGGGAAAAACAGGATGCACATACACACACATAGCCACTCGAGGTATAAAAGGATATGTTATGACCTGTGTGGTTGGTTGCTGTCTCCGTCTATGTCTGCAAGTGGGCCGCATTGAATAAAGAGAGACTCCCCGCCTTGATACCTGTGTCTCGACTGTTTGATTCCTTTTTGATCCACCACTTCTCGCCACAACACTGCTTAAAACCGAGTGGTGGCGACAATGTTTGAAGCTTCTCTTACTATCATGTAGGGCTCAGATGAAGAGTCGGATCAGGACGGTTAGCGCAGTTAGCATCTTTTATTTGTTTATGTTGTTTGTTACCTTGTAACTGGCAGTGGCTGACCCAGTGTTCGTGGTTGTGCTAATGCTAAAGCTAAGGTCTCAGTATCGGTTCCTTACGGTTTGTGACGTATGAAACCCTGGCTGTCTGATATGTGTTTATGAGACTCAGTCATGGTGTTGATGATTATTTCACTCATCGTGTGTCTTGTATTTGATAAAAAAAAATCATATGGACTTATGAAGGTTAAAAACTTTTCATCAGAGGGCGTCTTCTCGACACGTCCTTGCCGAACTACGAGAGCGGCTTCAGTCTGCTCTGAGGGCGACGGCGCCCCCTGAGAGCGGCAGACCTGCGGTGCGTGAACCAACAGCAGATGGAGAGGAACCACAGCGGAGCTACGAGAGTAATGACGTGGAACAGAAATCACTTGAATCTGAGGAGTCTCAACAAGGAGATAGAAGAGAAACACCAGAGGAAACAAATGTGTTGGTGTCAAAGAAATCAGCAGTTGGCTTTGAAATCACCGGGGGGGGGGGGCGCCGCAGACAAAAGTCCTCTTTACGTTGATAAATGGAAATGGGCAAACGTTAAGTGGATGAAGTGGGAGGTGACAGATGCAGCTGCCACCAGAGGAGCCCGCTAACAGCAGCTAATTTGCCTCTCTGCATCACTCAACACAAACTGTTTGTGAGCGGCAGAGAACAAAAAGACATTAAACGGCCCCCGCTGACGCAGAGGAAGCAGGAAAGGCCACAAACTATGAAGTCGACTGCTTTCGAAACGAGGACGCTCGGAGCGAGGAGACAGATGCTGCGGTTGCCGGGGGGATTTAGCCGTGACTGTGTCATAAGGCCGAACGACTGACAGGCTGGGTGGAGGTTTATTTGGCCATCGCGGTGGGACAGGAAGAAGACGAATTCAACGATATTTCATTTTCTGTTAAGATCTTAATCCCACTAACAGCCACTGAAAAGAACCAGCAGAGAGCCAGTAAATACCTGTGACACAGCTCGAGTAACAAACACAGGGGTAGAGAAACTGAAGTGAATCCAACTCTGATTAATTCAAACAATCAGCTGTTTCTTTTTCATATGTCGTGTTTTATTTTCCCATCATACGCAACTTGTTTTTTCTTTTGTTTTTAATTCCCCTCTTTCTTTCTGTAAAAGCACTTTCTACCTAAGAAAAGTGAGATGAATAAAGTTTATTTTATCATTTGAGAAAGGTGATCGAGTG